GAAATTAAAACACTATTTATTATTTAATTAAATAGAATTCAACCAATAATAAATGAAACTGCATAATTCTAATAGTCATATTAAACAAAAATGCATTTAGTTTTGTATAGAAAATTGTAAAAATCATATAATTTGAAACAAAAAAATTTCCCTAGAAAATCATTTAAAATGATACGGAGAGAGTATTAAGCATTGTTAGGTATCTATACTATCTACCAAATAAAACCCCGAATGTGGTCTTTTGAAGGTTTACAATCATTCGTGAGATTATTAAAACATAAGGCAGAAACTATATATGTGCTTGAACGTATAACCACTACACTTTCTAATAAATCCGAAGTAAAAACGAGTCATTAAGGACATTTTAATTACATATCACTAAATTCCTTCACCTGTTTTTAAGCTTTTATAAATATTAGAGCAATATTTTTCATGCTATTCGCGCAATGAAATAAAATTATTCGGAGAATAAAAAGAAGAAAACGACGAAAATGATGAAGAAGAAAAAAGAAGAAGAGAAAGATAAATAAAATAAAGAAGAAGAAAGAGAAAAATACGAAAACAGATACAAAAATACATAAAAGAGAAAAACCAAAAGAAAAAGACGAAGAAAGAAATGAGGAAGAGGATGAGACGAAGATGAGAAAAAAGAAAAAAAAATATGATAAGTTAAAGAATACAAAGTCGAAGGAGAAGAAGTAAAAAAGAAAGAAGAGGATAAATTAAAATAAGAAAAGAAGAAAAATTTAAGAAAATGAAAGAGAAGACGAACATGAAAAATCGAAAAAGAAATCGAAGAAGAACAGATGAACTGCAGAGAAAATAGACCTTGCGACTTTGGCCATAAATAATAATATTATAAGAAATAAAAGAATAAGAAGAAGTACAAGAAGATCGAAGAACAACAAAGAGAATACGAAGAAAATGAAGAAAAGATATTCTGAAGAAGTTGGATAAGAAAAATAAGACAAAGATGATGAAAACAAGAAAAAATAAAAAATGATGAAAAAAAAAACTTATAGATCGAAAAGAAGAAGAAAAAGAAAAATAAATAAAGAATGAAAAAAAAAATAATAATAAACGTAAATCATTACTATATATTTACATAATATATA